GAGCTCGTTCGCATCAAACCCCCAACACTCTACAAGAGGCTTGCTGAGACGGACTTGAAGTGATCGATATCCTACTGGCCTTCATCGCCAGAAATACCTCGATGTGGTAGCGACCGCCTGCGGTAGGGAAACCTCAACGTCTCTCAACTACTAACCAGGAATCTGAACCACATCAAGCGGGACGGGAGTCCAATTATTATCCAGAATTTACCTCTCCGAATTTTGATCTCGGAATCGCCCTGCCTCACAATGTCAGACGGTTTGAATTTATGCTCCTGGTAGTGCGTGTCGAGACTCTTGTCCACATATTCTCCCTTGAGGTAAGCATTCGTCATCTTCAGAGCTGAGTCGAAAGCGCGATTGACGGCTTCTTTCGTTACTGTAAATGATTCGCGTAGATATCAGTGTGGAGACTAGGTTCAGAATCGCATCATAACGGAGTCTTTCCTGAAGTTCCCGCGTGTGCGATAACCTGTAGGAGGAAATCTCGTACTTTTCGATGGCGTTGTGACCGGCGGCAAGCCTGTAAAAGAGGAAACCGATTGAGGTGCTCGTCCTTCGGCATCTCTTAACGTTCCTTGATTGCTTCGGGCCTGAGACCTCCGGTACTCACTTGTGTGGCTAACGGGAGACTTCCGACGGTGCGATATTATCATGAGGAGACCGGGGATCACCACCGCTATCATGGCCATTTTGAACAGGAGGGAAGCGCTGCCCAGGAGCTCACTCCGCGCTCTTGAAGTCCCGTTCCAGAAGTGCCGTGTCACCGTGGGATTCTCGATACCTCGCTTCTGGGACATGTTACTCACCGCTTGGTTCCGGGCTCCTGAGGGGGAGAGCTTCTCATCTTCTGCTGAGAAGGAATCTGCTTGATTGGAGCCGATCGAGAAAGTATATCCACTCACCTATCGTTTCGAGTGCAGGAGCGGTGGACGCGACGGCCGAAGATTCTCCTCGACAGCATAAATTCATCAATCTTCCCTTGAACGTTGGCGGATTCCTTCCCCGCACCGGGATATCCCTCGAATTCAATTTGCTGAACTTCTTCGAATGTTGCCACGAAGATTTTCCGTCAGGAACGCGGTGAGACTTTGGGCACGGGATCGGACCGAACACGGAGACAGAGTCTCGACGATTCTCCTGTGATATGCGCGTATTGGAGGAATTCGCGCTGTCTGCAGGATATGTCGCCTCAGGTTTCCTCTGGCATTCAGGCGTTTGTTAATTTTGCGAATTTCCTGTTTTTCAATTTTTTTTTCCGAGTTTTCGCATTTTCGTGGGCGGAGCACTCGAATAATTTTCTTTACGGTGGAAGGACTCATCGCATCGGAGAACTGACCCCCTATAACCACC